GGCCTCACCAGGGCTGAGTAGAGGGGCAGGATCACCTCCCTCGACCTGCTGGAGATGCTCTTCTTAATGCACCCCAGGATCCCATTGGCCTTCTTGGCCACAAGAGCACACTGCTGCCTCATGGTCAACTTATCATCCACCATGACACCCAGGTCTTTCTCCGCAGAGCTGCTCTCCAGAAGGTCATTCCCCAGCCTGTACTGGTGTCTGGGGTTATTCCTCCCCAGGTGCAGGACCTTGCGGCCTTGTTGAATTGCATGAGGTTTTTCACCACCCAGTTGTCCAGTCTGTCCAGGTCCTTCCGGATGGCAGTGCAGCTCTCTGGGGTACCAGCTACTCCTCCCAGTTTGGTATCATCAGCAAACTTGCTGAGGGAGCACTCTGTGCCTTCATCCAGGTCATTGATGAATAAATTGAACAGGACTGGAACTGAAGGAACTGACAGATTAAGAGGTCACTTACCCGTGTCTAGAATTCCCATGGAACCTCCAATAACTGACATCAAGACAGTTAAGAGCAGGGATTTCTTACACCAAGGTATAGCAAAAAGACCAATTGTTGTTCCAAGCATGGATACTCCTATGAAATAAATAAATAAATATATTACAGCTTCCATTTTAAATACAAAACATACAGCAAATCACAAAAAGAACATAGTATGTCCGTAATTCTTAAATTTGCAAATGAAATGAATTAAATGTGACTCTGCTTAAAAGAAAGTCAAGTTATTAAACTCTTAAAATGCTCTAAAGTGACAATTATCCTCGGTCAATAAGCAACCTCCATATAAAAGTTAGTTCTCCTTGATATTTTGTTCCCACATAAAGGATGTATTCCAAACGATTTCTAAATTAGCAAAAGATAGAACTACTGTATTTCAGACCATAAGATGAACTGAAATTCATTAATTGTATTAATTTTGCTTTATTTACTAAATAGACTATAGCAATTTGAAAAAGATTTCAGAGCTGGTGGAAATTAATATTGAAACCTTGGGAAGAAGTTCAAGAGTTAACTTCTGTGTTTATGATCTCCTCTCCCCTTAATGGGGATAGATGCAATTCAGAATTAACTAATCCACCCTCAGCCCAGAAAAGGCAGCGCCAAGCCCTGGGGAGGCACTCATACAAACCCTGAGACGATTTTCAAGCCTAGCACACTGGGCTGCACAGAGAAAAGCTAAGGATGGGGTGAAAGCTCTCTCACAGAGCTGAAAAACAACTTTGCAGTAAGGGGTCCACTTCTGGTCTTCACCTGAAGATCGGCACTTAAAAACTTCCTGACAAAGACAGATTGGATTTTCAGCTTCTGTACAGTAACAGAGTTTCAACGGCTGAAAGGTGGAAAGTACGTTAACCACACGAGCAAGAGCATCCCCTGCGAGTAGCCCTCAGGGGACAGCAATAGAAGATTCAGTCATTCAAACTATTTTTGACATAATTGCTATCAAATTGGACGTGGCTGAAAAGATGGAATACAAGCTCCAAGAACTGTTGATGAACAGCTATCCTATGTGATAGATCCAAAAAAAAGGCAAGAAAATACTGAACTACTTCATGTTAGTACTCGTTTCCACGGATAAATTAATGCTATTATTCAAGGTAAAAAATGTCAGAGACAGACCATTCTGACCATGTCAGATGTGCACAAAATGTTGAAATGCTGAAGGGAACATTTTTAAGAGTTCTGGAGTAGGGGAATAAAAAACAGGTGGGAGAACAATAAATAACAAATAAATAAATAAATGGATAGATAATTAGACTGAAATCTTAGAACTAGGAAGACAAGAAGAGGGGGAAAAAAAAAAAAGAGACAGACATTATATGATATCATGGTTTATGGTAACAGAAAGTAAGCATATAGGGCAAAAAGAGATTTAAGTTTAAACGCAAGCAATGAAAAATGAACCTTTCCATATGCTCCAAATCAATCCTGTGATTACTGTTCTGGGCAGAGTTATGTCTGAATCTCTCCAAGGAAACGTATGGCAGGAAAAGGAATAGGAAAAGCAATAGGAAAAGCACTGGGGGCCCTTAAAACCACTAGCTTGCAGCACACACAGACATGCTGCTATTGTTAGGTGTATTTTAGAAGAAATACTAGGTATATTTTAAAAGACACTGGTTGCCAGAGCTGCCCTTGAAAGGAAACAGATGGGCTTCCAGAATTTCAGGTGAGTTCTAAGAATCTCTATCTGAAAAAAAAAAAAAAAGGGCCCTTAATGTAACTCTGTGAAAGGAGCATTTAGTTTCTGGTTTATAAGTGTGTCATTCTGCAATTTAACTGCTTACTGGTCTAAGTTCACTGAAACAGTCCTATGCTTTTATACTAAAAAAAAAACCCAACAACAAAAAAATCACATGGCCTGAAAAACACGCTCATAAACCATGCTTCCTACAAATATTTGCATGTCTAGGCAGCAGTGGAGCAGTAAGCTTTCAAAATCACATTTTTTTTTAATTTTCACTTTGAGTAAGTCCTAATTTGATTCAATATTCAATTCAATCAAATTCTCTATACTTTTGCTACGTACACAAAGGTGAACATTTCTGCTGAGCTTCAACAAAGAGTAGAGTTTTACTGTACAGCTTTCCCCACAGGCCAGCATCACCTCAGCATGACCGCAGCAGCTTTCAGCTGTGCAGGTCAAAACAAAACGACAGTCACTCTCATTTTGTTTATGCATTTCACAGAGTGACATTTTAGGATACTGCCTGCTCCAGCGGGATCTAATGTAAAGCATATCATTTGATATAGAGGCGGAAAAAAACAGCCTTTTTCTTTTTCTCGTGTGTGCAAACCAAAGGCACTTTTGCACCAATTCTAACCAGTTTCTGTCAACTCACAAGCAGCCACCACTATTGGTATTTCCAGGAAACCTGTC